CTTCTAAAACATGTTAATTCCAGCATTTACATTAAAATAAAAAAGCTGTATCTGTTAGTATTAATGGAACTGAGCTAATAATCTTAACAACTGTATTTTTATTAGGTAACATTAAAGGGTAATACATATTGTAACAAGTATATTGCTGATTGTTAGTTAATGCATTGACTAATATTAAAAAAAATAATAATAACAGTAGCACTTTACAAATATTTGTAAATTATTTCAACTTTTCAAAAATGTTAACTTACCAGATCATTCTTGTAGCACATTTAGAAAACAAAATATTTAATTATAAATATTCTAGATTTTAATAGACAATAAAATGTCCCCCACATAGCCGGCCAATATTATACCAATGAATATTGTGTGTGTAGCAAACAAGACTTGCGGATTATACAAGCACACTTGTTATATACAATAGTAACTTGATTCACAAGTCACTATTTTTGTGATTTCATTGACAAACCTGTTGGCAAATATTTGCGAGGTTTTGTTTTAAATGAGGTTTAACTACTGCACAATCTCAAAGTGGCAAAATGTGTCCTGATTATTAGCCATCACTAATACAGACCAATGTGTCTAGTAATTTATCATGCGTGGCATTAAAGCAGCACATTTTCACAAAATCGTAATGTTAGAGCAGTAAAAGAGAGTCAACACTAGAGAAGGAATTATACAGAGAGAAAAGCTCTGGCAGAAATGGCATAGTAAAAGTCTGTCAAATCAAATCTCTTTTGTAATCAAATTGTGAACAGACTTAAAGAGGAAAAACAGTCCAGGTCCGTACATATGAACTAAACCACGAACCTTTTACAGGTCAAATCTAACCTCAATAATGATGGCAGCAGCACCTGGCACGAAGTCAACATGATAGGCCTCATTTTCAAAACAGCCTCGCTTATACGAAACTTCACAGATTTCATATACATTAATAGTTTGACTTCGCTGATGTTGTGTTTGTAAAACAGGTGCAGTGGCACTTTGGCTAAACAGCTGTGGAATCCGGTTAAAATTAGAGACAACACAAATACACTTTAGTTAGAAGTTAGCCGAAAGTCCACAGTTCACGAAACTCACTTAACTTACCGAGCACGGTAAACCAATGTGTCTCAATGAAATCAATGTAACTCCGTTGTTATTTGGTTAACACTTAAATTTCAACCATCTTGACTCCACACAACGTGAAACTCGCCGTCACGCAGCTAATGCTAATGTTTAGCTACGCAGCTACCGCCGACGGCTTCATATCAGTGCATTTTAAAAGTAGGATGTTTTTTAACAAATGAGGAAATACAGATATAATACCATCTTAATATGTTGCTTTTGTTGTCGGTCAAATGTAATAATTGAACTTTGTGAGAAAAAATACATATTAGCACTGTGCGCGAGCTTTTGAGTCCACACACAGGCCGCAAGCGAATTAATCCTCACAGATTCACCATTAACGGTCTAATTGACTAAACACTGATTTTTATAAACGACAATACATTTGATAGAAACGATGTACTTCTTACTAAAGCAATTCCCCGAATGCTGTAACTGAGCCGAAAATATAAAAGACAGCACCGTAACGTTACATGTAAACACTCGGCTACAAAGAAGCCACAAAATCGATTTAGAATCTCACTATGTACAACATAAATTTAACTTTCTGTAAACTTACCAGATGTGGCTGAGAATATCTTTGTGTGTTTGTGAATTATAGGTGTAGAGTTGTGACATATATTTAGGGGTGTAAAGCGAGTGTGTAAGATGGCTTCCAGTCATCTTTAAACCCTCCCATAATCAGTCACATGAGAGCCCCATGTAATCCACAAAAACACCACGCGTATACATTTTTTTTTTTTTACGGCTGCTTTCACATTAAATACATGCTAAATATTGTATATGTCTTGTTTTTAAAACAATAAACATTTGCATATATGGGCGATTCTATAATTGCATGTGCATTTGGTGTCCGAAGTCATTATTTTTTCAAATGGTTATATTTTTAATTATTTTAATAATTTGCTACTTATTGTTATGAATTACAAGATGTTACAGTCAATAACAATATCATAATTTATGTAAAAAGTGTCTTAAATAGCTCAAAATCATGATTTCTTGTTGTCCGAATGAGTCAGTGCATTTTTTTGCATGTATCATTGTGTAATCAAAATATTTTATTGTACTTTTCTTTTTGTAATATTTCATTCATTTTATTTATAAAAGCCCTAAATACTAATTTACTTAATTCTACAACATTAAATTGTTTAAAAATAACTTTTTTCTTATAAAAATGTGGGTCCATAAATCTTGCGTCAACTCTTTTACCGTACCATATTTTGCCTTTAAATCA